CAGCTTAGAAAACCTATTTTAGTTATAATAAACTGTTATACAACACTATTTTTATATGAGAAACTTTTGTACAGGATATTTTCCATATAAAACTATTATACAGCGTAGTTTCTATATATAAAACTGTTATGCAACATATTTTTCACAAAGAAAACTGTTATACAACATCATTTATGCATAAAAAACTGTTATACAGCCTATTTATTGTATAGAAAACTATTATATCGCTTAGAAAACTGTTATATAACCTATTATACTTATAATAAACTGTTATACAACACTAATTCTTTAAAGAAAACTTTCCCACTGAATATTTTCTATATAGAAAACTGTTATACTGGATATTTTCTATATAGAGAACTTTTATACTGGATATTTTCTATATAGAAAATTTTTATACAGCGTATTTTCTATATATAAAACTGTTATACAACATCATTTATGCATAGAAAACTGTTATACTGCTTATTTAGTGTATGGATAACTGTTATACAACATGTTTTCTAAAATTAAAACTGTAATACAACAAATTTATCACATAGAAAACTGTTATACAGCTTATTTTGTTAATAAAACAACTGTTATACAACATATTTCCTACATAGAAAACTGTTATACAGTATATTTTCCATTCCGATAACTGTTATAAAACATATTTTCTACACAGAAAACTGTTATAATACATTTTTTCCATTTCAATAACTGTTATACAAAAAATTGTGTATGCAAAAAACTGTTATACTACCAATTTTCTTTATTATTTTTGAGGTTTTCTGATTTTCTAATTATTTAAATTCTTTTTGTTTCCGAAAAAAACTTCCATTTTGTAGTCCTCCATCTCCCAATGGGTTAATGTTTTTGGATGATTGAATTTATTATGACTTGTTAAGACTCCAAAAACAATATTTGACAATGCATAGTTTGTTTATTCATTTTTTCCGAACATGAACTTACATGATTGATCCGATTCTAAGCGTATGTGACCACCACCGGCACCGCCACCCACACCAAAACCGCTAGCCTTATCCAACTGGATGCCCGTACCACGAACATGTTGATTTTTTGCCCCTGGACCGGCAAAAGTTGTCAGGGTTTTGTTGTTGCGATTGGCAAATTGGCTGAAGTTGTTGTTGTTGCTGTTGTCGTAATTGTGGTGATGGTCATGGCCATGCTGATGCTGTTCAGCATGTTGTTCGCGTTGGTGCTGATGATGGTGTGTGGAGTGATGGACTTGATGCTTCGTTGTCGTGCTGCTACTGTCGCCGCTACTCCCCGCATAGTTCCGGGCATTCTCGTGATAGGGCGAAGATGCTTTGTAAACAACATCCGTTAAATTACCCGCCGGACAATCGACTAAATCGAATTGTGACAATTTCATATCCTCGGCAATGGCCACAGCCGGACGTTCTTTGTTCCAGCGGTAGATGACATCGGCGGTGGTGTAGCCAACTGCAGAGGAGGGGGTGGTTTCGAATGCAAACATAGAGGAGGAATAAATAAAAATTTGCAAGAGATTAGAATACAATGAGAGAGTCTTTTGTTGAGAGAGAGGGAGAAGAGAGAGGGGCATAAAATAACAATGGCACAGCTGAGTGCAGAATAACAAGATTAAACAAAATAAGGGTAAATGTAGACGTTAAGGACATTAAGGATATTTTTAAAAAGCTATTTTTCGATATACCCTAAAAATCGTTTTTAAAAAATCCACGCCTAAGGCTAGACCCTAAAAATGATTTTTAAAAAATCCACGCCTAAGGCTAGACACTAAAAATGGTTTTTAAAAAATCGACGCCTAAGGCTAGACCCTAAAAATGTTTTTTAAAAAATCCACGCCTAAGGCTAGACCCTAAAAATGGTTTTTAAAAAATCCACGCCTAAGGCTAGACCCTAAAAATGGTTTTTAAAAAATCCACGCCTAAGGCTAGACCCTAAAAATGGTTTTTAAAAAATCCACGCCTAAGGCTAGACCCTAAAAATGGTTTTTAAAAAATCCACGCCTAAGGCTAGACCCTAAAAATGGTTTTTAAAAAATCCACGCCTAAGGCTAGACCCTAAAAATGGTATTTAAAAAATCCACGCCTAAGGATATACCCTAAAAATGGTATTTAAAAAATCCACGCCTAAGGCTAGACCCTAAAAATGGTTTTTAAAAAATCCACGCCTAAGGCTAGACCCTAAAAATGGTTTTTAAAAAATCCACGCCTAAGGCTAGACCCTAAAAATGGTTTTTAAAAAATCCACGCCTAAGGCTAGACCCTAAAAATGGTTTTTAAAAAATCCACGCCTAAGGATAGGCCTCTAAAAATGCCTTTAAAAAATCCACGCCTAAGGATAGGCCTCTAAAAATGCCTTTAAAAAATCCACGCCTAAGGCTAGACCCTAAAAATAGATTTTAAAAAATCCACGCCCAAGGATATACCCTAAAAATGGTTTTTAAAAAATCCACGCCTAAGGCTAGACCCTAAAAACGGTTTTTAAAAAATCCACGCCTAAGGCTAGACCCTAAAAATGGTTTTTAAAAAATCCACGCCTAAGGGTAGACCCCTAAAAATAATTTTTAAAAAATCCACGCCTAAGGGTAGACCCCTAAAAAGTAATTTTTAAAAAATCCACGCCTAAGGGTAGACCCCTAAAAAGTAATTTTTAAAAAATCCACGCCTAAGGGTAGACCCCTAAAAATAATTTTTAAAAAATCCACGCCTAAGGGTAGACCCCTAAAAAGTAATTTTTAAAAAATCCACGCCTAAGGGTAGACCCCTAAAAATAATTTTTAAAAAATCCACGCCTAAGGGTAGACCCCTAAAAATAATTTTTAAAAAATCCACGCCTAAGGGTAGACCCCTAAAAATAATTTTTAAAAAATCCACGCCTAAGGGTAGACTCCTAAAAATAATTTTTAAAAAATCCACGCCTAAGGCTAGACCCTAAAAATCGTTTTTAAAAAATCCACGCCTAAGGATATACCCTAAAAATCGTCTTTAAAAAATCCACGCCTAAGGATATGCCCTAAAAATGGTTTTTAAAAAATCCACGCCTAAGGCTAGACCCTTAAAATCGTTATTAAAAAATCCACGCTATAAAATCTGCCTTTTCTTCATTTCCCATATTAAATTCAAAACATTGTTCATTTAATTAATAATTCATGATTTCCAATCACGTATCGATTTTCTTAGAGATTTTTACTTTTCGATGGCCACTTCTAAGGTTGACCATCCCCCAAGTGGCCCATCGTTGCCGTTAAATGCCTTCTTTATTCAATAATTTTAATTGTCGATGAAATGGCTCATCATTTGAGCTGCTAATAGCCAAGAACGTCACGAATACCAAGCTCAACCAAGCTTCCACCATCATCCTCCATTAGGACCATCCTGCCTTCCTCCCTCCAAACCTCGTTGCTTTCCCTTTTCGTGACAAAAATCGGTATCAATGTGCCATTAAGTCCTTATAAATAATAATTGTAGTTGTGTCTCTCTAATCAATGCGATTAGTTATTCGATTGTGTGGGGCCTCCGCCTCCTACCCTGTTTCCCTCAAGGAAATTTCAAGAATTTTTACCCTATCTTTAATAATATTTCTTGTGCCACCTCCCCTAGTCTCCTTGCTTAGAAGGATATCAATGTTAAGATTCTGATGATGTGTTGAGGAATTGTTGTTGTCGGATTTTTTCCGGCCCCTCCTCGAATTCATTGCAACGAAGAGGGGACCAAGTTTTTTGTCCTTTTATTGCCTTCTTAGTTTTATTTTTTTTCATTCGGAAGATTTGTTAATAAATTCAGTGCTAACCACAGAATCCGCAAATGTGTGTGTGTCCGCATATGTGTGTTTGTGTGTGTTTGTTTGAGTGTCTTTGTCTATTTCCTTTGCTATTATCCCTTAATGACTTGCAATCTAAACTAAGGACCTTGATTGTGTGTTTAGACATTGCAAGCCGAACACACCCCAACCCCTAAAAATATACAACACTTTTCACCATTGCCTAAAAGTAGGCAAAGGTTATTGCATTAAGTTGTTGAATGCGTTGTTAACAATTTCTGATGGCATTGCTCATCCGAATCATTGGGCCAATGTTAGGAGAAAAGTTTTTCAATTACTTTGGCCCTTACTTAAAGCCTTAAAGTATGCTAAGGATTTTTATTAAAGGCGAAACAAATTTAAAATAAATTCAAAAATAGGTTTTAAGGCCTATCCACAAGGCGTGGAATTTAATTTTTTTTGGGGTCTATCCTTAGGCGAGGATTTTTTAAATATGATTTTTGGGGTCTAGCCTTAGGCGTGGATTTTTTAAATATGATTTTAAGGGTCTACACTGAGGCGTGGATTTTTTAAATACTATTTTTGGTGTCTACACTGAGGCGTGGATTTTTTAAATATGATTTTTGGGGTCTAGCCTTAGGCGTGGATTTTTTAAATATGATTTTAAGGGTCTACTCTTAGGCGTGGATTTTTTAAATATGATTTTTGGGGTCTACACTTAGGCGTGGATTTTTTAAATATAATTTTTTGGGGTATATCCTTAGGCGTGGATTTTTTAAATATGATTTTAAGGGTCTACCATTAGGCGTGGATTTTTTAAATATGATTTTAAGGGTCTACCATTAGGCGTGGATTTTTTAAATATGATTTTAAGGGTCTACCATTAGGCGTGGATTTTTTAAATATGATTTTAAGGGTCTACCATTAGGCGTGGATTTTTTAAATATGCTTTTAAGGGTCTACCATTAGGCGTGGATTTTTTAAATATGATTTTAAGGGTCTACCATTAGGCGTGGATTTTTTAAATATGATTTTAAGGGTCTACCATTAGGCGTGGATTTTTTAAATATGATTTTAAGGGTCTACCATTAGGCGTGGATTTTTTAAATACTATTTTTGGTGTCTACACTGAGGCGTGGATTTTTTAAATACTATTTTTGGTGTCTACTCTGAGGAGTGTAATCAGAAATATCTGCTTGTCATTGATTTATTGCGATGTACCCCTTAAAGTATGCAATGAAATTTCCATTTTATTGATTTTTTGAGGAGACAGCCTACCCTCCTCGGCAATAATTAAATGCGAATTATTCAAAAACTGACATAGATATTCTCGTCGTCTTTGGGAATAAGACCAGACCCTAGGTTTTTTTGCCGCCTCGTCCCCCTTGCCCTCCTCCTCCTCTTCGTGGTAAGTACTTCTCGATGTTAACATGACATCGAAGTGATGTTAATTTCACGAGAGTGTGTGTGTGCACTCCCACTACTCATTAATGCGATTATTCACGAGCCAACTCATAATTGTACTTAATGTGTCAGTCAATAGGAATGAAAGCGAAGGAGCGAGCAGGGGCTTGAGGAAGGTTGGTTCGGCAAACATCTTATTTTTGCAAAATAGACACAAATGCAAATGAATGTTTGGGGAGACGAATTTTTATTCCATGCCAATATCTAAAAATTGTGGCGGAATTTGTGAGGGGGGGAAGTACGGGGAGGGAGGCTTGAGGTTGTGATGAGGAAATGAAGAGCTGTTACATTTTTTTTGAGTGGTACCCCATAATGAGTTCCCAATGGTGATTAATGGGAAATGTGAATATTTTTGAATGGCCCGTACGACGGGTGATGGAGGAGGATGGTGTGGGAAATTGGTGATTTTTCCCCCTCTTTGGGAAAAAAGCAATTTGTTTGAACGGTTTTTTTCCTGCTCGGATATGTTGTTGTTAACTTCAAATTGTCGCGATGTGTCACAAAACTCTATTTATTTTTATCTATGACAATCGCAACATTTACACCTGCGATGCGCGAGAATTTTTTTCCTCAGGGGATTTTTTTTGTTCAGGAAAAAAATTGGCGGTTTTTTGTTACCCCTCCATCGGAATGCTTGACAATGCGCCAAATGGAAATTGACGTGTAGTGTGATGTCATAAATGTATACAAATATTACTTTTTTCTACTGGGAAAACCCGCCCAACCTCTAACCACCACCCTGTGGGACAATGGCGCCAAACCTCCACTCTGTAAAAATTGCATGCATTTTTTTTAGAGGACATGTAGAGTCATTGGGGCCCACAAAAAAAATCTAAGCTGTCAATAGGGTATACAAGAAAAAAAAGAAATTGTTATGACATTCATTGGCATGATCATTCATGCAGTGCTTGATTATTGGCAATTTCCCTTTAACAGCAAATTTATGGCATTAATATACACACAGATCGATATACAAACATACACAGATACATGTGTGTGTGTGTATTTATGTGTGTGTTCGATGCCAGGCATTCTGACATCCACTATCTGTCGAGTGTGGTACATGTGTACAAATAAATATATCGTGGTTTTTTGACGTCTTGATTGCAGTTGTTGTTAAATGCAATTGGCAGGACCTTTAGTAGGAGACACATGTCAAAACAGATGACTTTTATGGTCGGGCCATCAAGATGAGAATAAATGGTCACATCAAAAATCATATTTAAAAAATCTACGCCTAAAGCTAGACCTCAAAAATCATATTTAAAAATCTACGCCTAAGGCTAGACCTCAAAAATCATATTTAAAAAATCCACGAATAAGGCTAGACCCCAAAAATCATATTTAAAAAATCCACGCCTAATGGTAGACCCTTAAAATCATATTTAAAAAATCCACGCCTAAGGATAGACCCCAAAAATCATATTTAAAAAATCCACGCCTAAGTGTAGACCCCAAAAAATACTATTTAAAAAATCCACGCCTAAGTGTAGACCCCAAAAAATTCTATTTAAAAAATCCAAGTCTAAGGCTAGACCCCAAAAATGATTTTTAAAAAATCCACGCATAAGTGTAGACCCCAAAAAATACTATTTAAAAAATCCACGACTAAGTGTAGACCCCAAAAAAATACTATTTAAAAAATCCACGCCTAAGTGTAGACCCCAAAAATACTATTTAAAAAATCCACGCCTAAGTGTAGACCCCAAAAAATACTATTTGAAAAATCCACGCCTAAGGCTAGACCCCAAAAATCATATTTAAAAAATCCACGCCTAATGGTAGACCCTTAAAATCATATTTAAAAAATCCACGCCTAAGGATAGACCCCAAAAATCATATTTAAAAAATCCACGCCTAAGTGTAGACCCCAAAAAATATTATTTAAAAAATCCACGCCTAAGTGTAGACCCCAAAAAATTCTATTTAAAAAATCCAAGTCTAAGGCTAGACCCCAAAAATGATTTTTAAAAAATCCACGCATAAGTGTAGACCCCAAAAAATACTATTTAAAAAATCCACGCCTAAGTGTAGACCCCAAAAAATACTATTTGAAAAATCCACGCCTAAGGCTAGACCCCAAAAATCATATTTAAAAAATCCACGCCTAATGGTAGACCCTTAAAATCATATTTAAAAAATCCACGCCTAAGGATAGACCCCAAAAATCATATTTAAAAAATCCACGCCTAAGTGTAGACCCCAAAAAATACTATTTAAAAAATCCACGCCTAAGTGTAGACCCCAAAAAATTCTATTTAAAAAATCCAAGTCTAAGGCTAGACCCCAAAAATGATTTTTAAAAAATCCACGCATAAGTGTAGACCCCAAAAAATACTATTTAAAAAATCCACGACTAAGTGTAGACCCCAAAAAAATACTATTTAAAAAATCCACGCCTAAGTGTAGACCCCAAAAATACTATTTAAAAAATCCACGCCTAAGTGTAGACCCCAAAAAATACTATTTGAAAAATCCACGCCTAAGGCTAGACCCCAAAAATCATATTTAAAAAATCCACGCCTAATGGTAGACCCTTAAAATCATATTTAAAAAATCCACGCCTAAGGATAGACCCCAAAAATCATATTTAAAAAATCCACGCCTAAGTGTAGACCCCAAAAAATATTATTTAAAAAATCCACGCCTAAGTGTAGACCCCAAAAAATTCTATTTAAAAAATCCAAGTCTAAGGCTAGACCCCAAAAATGATTTTTAAAAAATCCACGCATAAGTGTAGACCCCAAAAAATACTATTTAAAAAATCCACGACTAAGTGTAGACCCCAAAAAAATACTATTTAAAAAATCCACGCCTAAGTGTAGACCCCAAAAATACTATTTAAAAAATCCACGCCTAAGTGTAGACCCCAAAAAATACTATTTGAAAAATCCACGCCTAAGGCTAGACCCCAAAAATCATATTTAAAAAATCCACGCCTAATGGTAGACCCTTAAAATCATATTTAAAAAATCCACGCCTAAGGATAGACCCCAAAAATCATATTTAAAAAATCCACGCCTAAGTGTAGACCCCAAAAAATACTATTTAAAAAATCCACGCCTAAGTGTAGACCCCAAAAAATTCTATTTAAAAAATCCAAGTCTAAGGCTAGACCCCAAAAATGATTTTTAAAAAATCCACGCATAAGTGTAGACCCCAAAAAATACTATTTAAAAAATCCACGACTAAGTGTAGACCCCAAAAAAATACTATTTAAAAAATCCACGCCTAAGTGTAGACCCCAAAAATACTATTTAAAAAATCCACGCCTAAGTGTAGACCCCAAAAAATACTATTTGAAAAATCCACGCCTAAGGCTAGACCCCAAAAATCATATTTAAAAAATCCACGCCTAATGGTAGACCCTTAAAATGATATTTAAAAAATCCACGCCTAATGGTAGACCCTTAAAATGATATTTAAAAAATCCACGCCTAATGGTAGACCCTTAAAATGATATTTAAAAAATCCACGCCTAATGGTAGACCCTTAAAATGATATTTAAAAAATCCACGCCTAATGGTAGACCCTTAAAATGATATTTAAAAAATCCACGCCTAATGGTAGACCCTTAAAATGATATTTAAAAAATCCACGCCTAAGGCTAGACCCCAAAAATCATATTTAAAAAATCCACGCCTAATGGTAGACCCTTAAAATGATATTTAAAAAATCCACGCCTAATGGTAGACCCTTAAAATGATATTTAAAAAATCCACGCCTAATGGTAGACCCTTAAAATGATATTTAAAAAATCCACGCCTAAGGCTAGACCCCAAAAATCATATTTAAAAAATCCACGCCTAATGGTAGACCCTTAAAATGATATTTAAAAAATCCACGCCTAATGGTAGACCCTTAAAATGATATTTAAAAAATCCACGCCTAATGGTAGACCCTTAAAATCATATTTAAAAAATCCACGCCTAATGGTAGACCCTTAAAATGATATTTAAAACATCCAAGCCTAATGGTAGACCCTTAAAATGATATTTAAAAAATCCATGCCTAATGGTAGACCCCAAAAATCATATTTAAAAAATCCACGCCTAATGGTAGACCCCAAAAATCATATTTAAAAAATCCACGCCTAATGGTAGGCCCCAAAAATCATATTTAAAAAATCCACGCCTAATGGTAGACCCCAAAAATCATATTTAAAAAATCCACGCCTAATGGTAGACCCTTAAAATGATATTTAAAAACTCCACGCCTAATGGTAGACCCTTAAAATGATATTTAAAAAATCCACGCCTAATGGTAGACCCTTAAAATGATATTTAAAAACTCCACGCCTAATGGTAGACCCTTAAAATCACATTTAAAAAATCCACGCCTAATGGTAGACCCTTAAAATCATATTTAAAAAATCCACGCCTAAGTGTGGACCCCAAAAAATACTATTTAAAAATCCACGCCTAAGTGTAGACCCCAAAAATACTATTTAAAAAATCCACGCCTAAGTGTAGACCCCAAAAATCATATTTAAAAAATCCAGGCCTAAGGGTAGACCCTTAAAATCATATTTAAAAAATCCGCGCCGGAGTGTAGACCCCAAAAAATATTTTTTAAAAAATCCACTCCTAAGGCTAGACCCCAAAAAAATTGTTTCTTCTATTTAAAGTGTTTCAATACTTACACGAACCAAATTTCAGTGGACATTTCTGTATGTCCATTGGAAAATCCTCCAAATTCATTGGACATCCCGCCTTTATGGTCAATCTAAGGAGAGGCAAAAAAAAAAAAAAAAAAAAACGGAAAAAATCAGATAACAAATTACCGATAATCTGTAATGAGAATTTGTTCTACAACTATTTACAGAATTTTAAAAATTTTAAGGTAAACATATTTTGAGAGCCTATGGAGGATGATGGTCGATGTAAAAAAGTGTTTGCCTCACCTGCTTGAATACAACACCCTGCCATTCTGATGGATACGCACGAATTTATTCGGTGTCGTTATGGTGTGTAAATAACTTTGTTTACCGTTATAGAAATAAGTATCCGGTTTCCAGATACGTGCCAGCATTGATACACTCAACGCCAGGGTGGCTTGGGCTCCTTTGAATGCTAGGCGTTTGTCCACCCACGATTGGCGAAAATAACAATCCATAGAGTAGGTCTGCAAAGAAGGGACGGGGAGGAGGGAGATAATTACAAATTATCACAGATTATTTGTCATAGTTTGTGATTCGGAATTTTGGTTTTGGATGGCTAGCAGAAGAAGAAAAATTAATTACCATATCCACTTCAGAAATTGGACCCATACTGCGTACCATAATATCCACTTCAACGGTGGCAGGGGGACCTGTAAAGAGAGAGGGAGAGAGGACAACATTTATTTGATGAATTGAAATACATTTTAAAGAAATATTTACTTGAAAAATCGATACGAATTAAATACAAAGGGAACAGGTGGCGTATTAGTATTATTAATACGAAAAAATCATAGCATACTTTGGGGAGTCCGAAATAGAAAATAAAATTAAAATCTTTAAGAAGTGGATTTAAAATAAAATGCAAATCGAGAGATATATAGGGACTTCGGTACACCATTTACCTTAAATCGTAAGAAAATATATATGAGAGCTAAATTCAAATCTGGACCGATTTTCAGGAAACTTAACACACATCATTCTAGACCTAATTCATTACGCTGTGTTAAATTTCGTGCAAATCGAGAGATATATAGATACTTTGGTCCACCATTTACATTAAATCGGACGAAAATATGTGTGGGAGCTATATATATATCTGAACCGATTTTCACGAAACTTAACACACATAATTATTAAACTAATTCCCTACGCTATGCCAAATTTCGTGCAAATCGAACGATATATAGGGACTTTGGTGCACCATTTATATTAAATCGGACGAAAATATATATGGGAGCTATATCTATATCTTTTAAAAAATCCACGCCTAAAGATAGGCCTCTAAAAATGCCTTTTAAAAAATCCACGCCTAAAGATAGGCCTCTAAAAATGCCTTTTAAAAAATCCACGCCTAAAGATAGACCCTAAAAATAATGTTTAAAAATCCACGCCTTAGGATAGACCCCTAAAATAATGTTTAAAAAATCCACGCCTAAGGATAGGCCCCTAAAAATATGTATTAAAAAATCCACGCCTAAGGATAGACCCTAAAAATAATGTTTAAAAAATCCACGCCTAAGGATAGACCCTAAAAATAATGTTTAAAAAATCCACGCCTAAGGATAGACCCTAAAAATAATGTTTAAAAAATCCACGCCTAAGGATAGGCCTCTAAAAATCCCGTTTAAAAAATCCACGCCTAAGGATAGGCCTCTAAAAATGCCTTTTAAAAAATCCACGCCTAAGGATAGACCCGGAAAATAATTTTTAATTTGTTTTTAAGTCGTATCCTTAAGAAATATTTTTTTTTAAATCCATAATCTTTGTATATCCACCCAATTTACTTAATTTCATCTCCGAGCCTAAAAGTATGCTTTGAACATATGCTAATATCCGTTTTTATCACTTTGAACGGAAATAGTCAAACACTGGGATAATAAAAACTAATTTTTTATACAACAAAAAACCTCAACTAATACCCCCACCACCAACCCCCTTCATCCCGCTATCTTGCCATTAGGCTGCCTTTCAGTTCCGCTGCCTGGCTTATTTTGTAATCTTCGGTCTTTTCGCCTTCGCGGTTTTTCTGTTCGTTCCGCTGATAGGCAATTGCATTGAAAGTCTCTCTGCATTAATGGCGTAATGAAGTGTTTAACAACGTCATGTAATTTATGTGCGTATGTTTGTCTGGCTGTCTGTCTGTTGGTCGGATTGTCTATCTGTCTGTCTGCCTGCCTGCCTGCCTCTCTGAGGACTGGCAACTAAACGACACCGAAGAAGACCTCCAACATGAATGAATGCTTGGATCAAAAAATATAAATTGAGAACAGAGAACGGAATTACTAATAGCTTGTTAGTGTGTGAGAATATGTGTGTGGGTATGAGTGTGTGTGTGTTTGCATTCAAGCACATTCATGTTTTTTTTCTGAAATCAGTCCCACTACTACAATTACCCCCGCCATTAAAAGGGAAACGATTCCTTTTGAAAGTGGCAGAAGAGCAGCACACAAGAAAAAAATTATCATTTCAAAAGCGAACACAAAAAAAAAATTGCAGGCAAGTCAAGTGAGACGAGAAAAAAATCGGAAAATGAATTTCAAAAATTAAATTAATTTCAGTTCAGGCAGAGAAAAAGAAGAAGAAGAATACAACTTTTATGATGGCCTATCAAATAAATGCATTTATTTTTAATATTTACTGAGATTAAAAGGATTTCCCGTATCAAAAAGGCAAAGCAAAGGCCTAAAAGTATGCAACATAAAAGAAAAAAAATCAAAATAAATTTTTAGTGGTCTATTCTTAGGCGCACATTTTTTAAAAATGATTTTTAAAGGTCTATCCTCAGGTGCGGATTTTTTAAACATTATTTTAGGGGTCTATCCTGAGCCGTGGATTTTTTAAATATGATTTTTGGGGTCTAGCCTCAGGCGTTGATTTTTTAAACATTATTTTAGGGGTGTATTCTTAGGCGTGGATTTTTTAAAAGGCATTTTTAGGGGCCTATCCTTAGGCGTGGATTTTTTAAAAGGCATTTTTGGGGGCGTATCCTTAGGCGTGGATTTTTTAAAAGGCATTTTTAGGGGTTTATTCTTAGGCGTGGATTTTTTAAAAGGCATTTTTAGAGCATTTTTATACCCTTCACCTCACTGTGGTACAGGGTATTATGTCTTTGTACATATGTTTGTGACAGACAAAAGGAAACGAGATAGACACATGGTTCCGTTTGGAGAATATGCATAGAATCACCTTCTGAGTCGATTTACGCATGTCCGTCGATCTGTCCGTCCGTCCATGTATTTTTGTAAACAAAGTACAGGTCGCATTTATGATCCGATTTGGATGAAATTTGGCATAGGTCACTTATTTGGCCCAAGGACGAACCCTATTTAAATTGGGAAAAATCGGTTCAGATTTCGATATAGCTTCCATATATAATTTCGTCCGATTTAAGGTAAATGGTGAATTGGGTCTAGAATGATGTGTGTTAAGTTTCCTGAAAATCGATTCAGATTTAGATATAGCTCCTATATATATTTTCGTCCGATTTAAGAAAAATGGTGCACCAAAGTCCCTACGTATCTTTCGATTTGCACGAAATTTGGCACAGCGTAATGAATTGGGTCTAGAATGATGTGTGTTATGTTTTTTGAAAATCGGTTCAGATTTAGATATAGCTCCCATATATATTTGCGTCCGATTTAAGGTAAATGGTGCACCAAAGTCCCTATATATCCTTAGATTTGCACGAAATTTGGCACAGCGTAATGAATTGGGTGTAAAATGATGTGTGTTAAGTTTCCTGAAAATCGGTTCAGATTTCGATATAGACCCCATATATATTTTCGGCCGGTTTAAGGTAAATAGTACACCAAAGGTCCTATATATCTTTCGGTTGGCACGAAATTTGGCATTGTAGAATGATGTGTGCTAAGTTTCCTGAAAATCGATTCAGATTTCGATATAGCTTCTATATCGGACCAAATGAAAAATTTTGTATCGGTTTCAGAATGCCATGTTTATGTATACAATTTCATTTTACTGGTCCTTTAAAAATGCGACGTCTATTAGGATTCAAGTCTGTTGAATATACCCAAAGTGGTGAAGGGTATCATATAGTCGGCCCCGTCCGACTATATGTTTTTTGGGGTCTACCCTTAGGTGCGGATTTTTTTAAAATTTATTTTTGGTGTCTACCCTTAGGCCTGGATTTTTTTGAAAATTATTTTCGGGAATTTTTGAAATCTTTCAAATTTTTCTTACCTCCAAAATCCGGTCGTATACTGTTGTCATAACCCCTCAAAAGATTATCCAATAATTCCGAGATGTTGGCATGATTGTTACGCTGTGTTAGTCGGATGTGTGAACCGGCTTCCACCAAGGTTAATTTTGTGGTCGTTAGGCCATACCACAACACGGCATACAGAGCTATAAGCCATGTTAACTTTAGAGGACCAAATGACCTGCCACAGCAAATGTTTTTGAGCGTAACATGGAGCGACGATGATGATGACGACGAAGTTAACAGTCGTTTCAGATTTATCAGCGACACTATTGTCGGTGGCATCATTGCCAACAACATCAGTAGTAGCATCACCGTTGACGATGGCATGGCCAGGACGAGTAGTAACAGCAGCATCAACATTATGGTCATTATTATGGCTGAGGACATGGGGTGGTGGAAGGTGGTGAGGGTGTAGAAGGGTCCTGCTGGTGGAGGTCCTGGTGTTGTTTGTCAAACAGCCAGTAATGTTGATGGTGGCGGAGTTGTTGTTGTTTTTGGAGTCAGCTTAAGTTTCCGTTGCTGGCGTTTATTAGTTTTTCGCTTGCAGTGCCCGTCCGCCTCACCCTTCCTTAACTTTGTCCTGGCTTAGAAGGATTCCAGAGTGTTTGGCTAAAAGGAAGAATCTGTTGTTGACAAGTTTTAGGCTTTAGTTGTTGACTTTGTTTTTAGTTTTTTTTTGTTCAGTTCACATTGTTTTTGTTGTTGTTGTTTTGCACATTGAATTTACACTTGGCTTGTTAACCGTCTGTTGTCTGTGTGGGTTCCGATTCGGTTAGTTGTCATGGATTTTTATGCAGATTTTGTTTTACTTAAAATCTTTTATCGGCTTGGTTTGTTTTATCCAAAGGAGATAAGAAGAGAGGATAAAGAAAGCAAAAATTAAAAAAAAATATATTTTTAAAGCCAATCCGCAAGGCGTGGATATAGCTCCCATATATAGTTTCGTCCGATTTTAGGTAAATAGGCTACTAAAGTCCCTATACATCTTTCGATTTGCACGAAATTTGGCATAGCGTAATGAATTGAGCCTAGAATAATGTCTACTAAGTTTTGTGAAAATCGGTCCACATTTAGATATAGCTCCCATATATATTTTCGTCCGATTTTAGGTAAATGGTGCACCAAAGTCCCTAAATATTTTTCGATTTGCACGAAATTTGGCACAGCGTAATGAATTAGGTATAGAATGATGTCTGCCAAGTTTCATGAAAATCGGTCCACATTTAGATATAGCTCCCATATATATTTTCGTCCGATTTTAGGTAAATGGTGCACCAAAGTCCCTATATATCTTTCGATTTGCACGAAATTTGGCACAGCGTACTCAATTAAGTCTAGAATGATGTGTGATAAGTTTCCTGAAAATCGATTAAGATTTAGATATAGCTCCCATATATAGTTTCGTCCGATTTTATGTAAATGGTGCACCAAAGTCCCTAAATATCTTTCGATTTGCGTGAAATTTTGCATAGCGTACTCAAGTAAGTCTAGAATGATGTGTGTAAAATTTCATGAAAATCGGTCGAGATTTAGATATAGCTTCCATATATAGTTTCGTCCGATTTAATGCAAATGGTGCACCAATTCCCTATATATCTTTCGATTTGCACGAAATTTGGTTTAGCGTACTGAATTGAGTCAGGAATGATGTGTGTTAAATTTCGGGAAAATCGGTCCAGAATTAGATATAGCTCCCATATATAGTTTCGTCCGATTTAAGGTAAATGGTGCACCAAAGTCCCTATATATCTTTCGATTTGCATGAAATATGGTATAACGTACTGAATTGAGCCAAGAGAGATGTCTGCCATGTTTCGTGAAAATCGGTCCAGATTTAGATAAAGCTCCCATATATATTTTCGTCCGATTTAATGTGAATGGTGCACCAAAGTCCCTAAATATCTTTCGATTTGCGTGAAATTTGGCACAGCGTAATGAATTAGGTATAGAATGATGTCTGCCAAGTTTCATAAAAATCGGTTCAGATTTAGATATAGCTCCCATAAATAGTTTCGTCCGATTTTATGTAAATGGTGCACCAATGTCCCTATATATCTATCGATTTGCACGAAATTTGGCATAGCGTACTGAATTAAGTCTAGAACGATGTGTGTTAAATTTTGTGAAAATCGGTTCAGATTTGGATATAGCTCCCATATACAGTTTCGTCCGATTTAATGTAAATGGTGAACCAAAGTCCCTATATATCTTTCGATTTGCACGAAATTTGGCATAGCGTACTGAATTGAGCCTAGAATGCTGCGTGTAAAATTTCTGGAAAATCGGTTCAGATTTAGATATAGCTCCCATATATATGTTCGTCCGATTTTATGTAAATGTTGCACCAAAGTCCCTATATATCTTTCGATTTCCAAGAAATTTGGCATAACGTACTGAATTGAGCCTAGAATGATGTGTGTTAAGTTTCTTGAAAATCGGTTCAGATTTAGATATAGCTCCCATATATATTTTCGTCCGATTTTAGGTAAATGGTGCACCAAAGTCCCTATATGTATATCTTTCGATTTGCACGAAATTGGGCATATCGTACTGAATTTAGTATAGAATAATGTGTGCCTAAATCGTTTGAGGTTGTATAGCTCCCTTATATATTATCGATTACCAAAAATTTCATAGATCCACCCAAAGGCGTTTGGTGAAGTAAGGAGGGTTAGTGTTGTGGTAGTTCACATGCTGCCACACAAATCGGTTACTACTGCTCAACTGCAATGCATTTCAATTTAATTAAAATGCACTTCGTACAGCAGTCAGACACCTCACATTTTTTCCCATCCTCTGTTTTTCCTTCATATCTATCCTCCCACATTCCCTCTCACCTGTTGTCCATATAACCCACCTCCACAATCACCCCTATTACTCTATCACCTCCACTGTCTAAGTAAAGACGCGTTAACTGATATCCCTATTACCAAAATTACTTCGGGGATTTGAGACTTACTTATGGACCTGGGAGGAGGGAAGGAGTCCGAGTAATTTACAACAAAAACGAAAGAGAATCGAATGTGAAATAAACTAGAAATATAATTAAATTTGATGGCATATTTTCATTTTTGGGGGCGGGACAGTTAATTTTCGATAAATGTGTGTGTTGTAGTAAATAATGGAAACAATTAGGTAATGTGAGACCTTTTAATTTTTTTGGGAAAACAAATTGGCTCGGAATCCTCATTCCTTACCTGCGTGTGAACTGCACCCTGCAACATATGCTGCAATTTTATTACATTACAAAAAACAAGTGCAGGATGCACATATGTTATGGTTTGTAGGCCTTTTTGTGTGTGTGTGTGTGTGTTTGTGGCAAATTTAAAGCATACTATTAGGCATGTTAATGGCGAAGGCAAGATAACTACTTCGTAATACAAAAAAAAAAAAAAAATAAATAAATATAAATAAATTATTTAGAGGGTAGGATAGTTTGTGGTACCGAGAAAAAAATAATGTTTATAATATCAGAAAGGAGGAGGAGAGACATTAGAAAAAACGAGTAAGGAAAGTAGTAAAGTCGGACTGGGCCGACTATATGATACCCTTCACCACTTTGGTATAATCTACATATATATCCTAATAGATGTCGCCTTTCGAAGGCATATTGACATGAATTTGAACGAACGTAAATATGTGATCTTTATCGATATGTGAACGGACTAACATCAATCCGTACATATATTCTGAAACCTATGCTAAGTTTCATTTCATTCAGGCAGATTTAGAGTCGTTTGCGTACAATAGGACACATTTATGTAAGTCGAACACTTGCTACACCTGTCTGGTATGAGAACAGTATTAATGGCATATTTCGCATCGGATATTTACCACCCTCCTGGAAATAGTCGCAATTCGTCATGATTCCGAAGCCGGGTAAAGGCCCAACATTCTATCCAAACTTCTTGAATCAATTTTATTGTTGAAAATAACCCCATTTATAAACTCCAAAAATATTCTTCCGAATCACCAATTTGGATTCCGCAAAAACCATAGAACAAGTGCACCGAATAGTGACCTACATCAGAGAAGCCCATGAAAACAAACATTATTGCTCTGCTCTATAGAATATGCCAATTATTACCAAGCAACACACACAATATTTTTCAAAGCTAGTATTTATCAGACCGAACATTTGAAGTCAAATACAATGGCATATTTTCAAGCACGAAAAATATAACTTCAGGCGTTCCCCAAGGAAGTATATTGGGTCCCTTCCTCTATGTAATATTTAGTAGTGACATGCCAACAAACACTTGCATACACACCTCTCTCTACCTTTGAGGACGATACTGCGTTTGTCAGTCTACACGGAGATCTCGCAGTTGGATCTTACAACCTAAAATCATATATACAAATTTTTGGAAGACTGGTAAATGGAGAATCTCCGTAAACGCAAACGCAAAATGTACCCATGTAACATTCACGTTAAAGCGAGAGTCATGCCCTTCAATTAACATATTCAACATACAAAAATAATCATGTGAAAATAAAAAAAATCCTCATATTTTTATTTGACCTCATATGACCTCCTTAGGATTTTCACACAAATAAAATATTATATATCTCTCTCTTCCACCTTCTCCTCCGCCCTCTTCCATTCTATTGATATTTCTTTATATATCACTAATGAAGTATCATTGCAATTTATTTATTGAAAACGTGGCAAACAATGACAACAACAACCACACCGACTTTCGAAGTGACAAAAAGACAGGTTTTAAGTTGCTTAGCCTGCATATGGGCCCTCTCTGAAGTGTTATTCCATTTTCCCAATATTTACTAAACACGCATCTACTTGAGAGAGGGAGAGAGAGAGAGCGAGTGAGTGAGAGGAAAAAAACGAGAAATTAATTGCATTATCCTTAAACAGGGCAACAGGGTATGCGGATCAAATTTTCCTAAGAAAATTATTGTGACAAAAAATCCGATCAAAAAAAAAAAAAAAAAAAAACAAATTCTAAAGGACATAGAAGACGAGATTTTTAAAAAGAATATTTTTTAAAGGATCCCCATGGCCTGGATTTTTAAAAGAATATTTTTAAAGGACCTCCAAGGCGTGGATTTTTAAAAGAATATTTTTAAAGGACCTCCAAGGCGTGGATTTTTAAAAAAATATTTTTAAAGGACCTCCAAGGCGTGGATTTTTAAAAGAATATTTTTAAAGGACCTCCAAGGCGTGGATTTTTAAAAGAATATTTTTAAAGGACCTCCAAGGCGTGGATTTCTAAAAGAATATTTTTAAAGGTCCTCCAAGGCGTGGATTTTTAAAAGAATATTTTTAAAGGACCTCCAAGGCGTGGATTTTAAAAAAATATTTTTAAAGGACCTCCAAGGCGTGGATTTTTAAAAGAATATTTTTAAAG